ATTCTCACTTCACATATTACTGAAACCTACCTTGTAGAGTCTTAGGTATAACTTTACTGGTATGTAAAATGACTGCAATTGTAAGGCAATTTGAACATTCCTTGGCATTGCCTTTTGAGTTTTCCAAACTTACTGGCATATTGAGTGCAGCACTCTAATAGCATCATCTTTTAGGATTTTAATTCCTAAATTAAATTCCAACTTAGGATTGGAATTCCATCACCTTCACTAGCTTTATTGCTAGCAATGCTTCCTAAGGCCAGCTTGACTTCATTCTCCAGGATGTCTGCCTCTAGATCAGTAACCACACCATTGTGGTATCAGTGACATTAAATCTTTCTTGCATAATTCTTCTGTGTATTCTTGCCACATCTTTTTAATCTCTTCTGTTTCTGTTAAGTACCTACCATTTTTGTCTTTTATCATGCCCATTTTTACATGAAATATCTTGATATCTCTAATTTCTTGAAGAGATTTCTTCTTTCCCATTCTATTGTTTCCTTTTATTTTTTTTACATTGCTTATTTAAGCAAACCTCCTTATCTCTCTTTGCAATTCTCTGGAATCCTGCATTCAGTTGGGTATATCTTTCCCTTTTCCTTTTTTCTTTCTTTCTTTCCTTAGCTATTTGTAAAGCCTCATTACTTTTCTTGCTCTTCCTTTTTTGGGGGGATGTTTTTGTTGCTGGTTCCTGTACAATATTATGAACTATCCATTGTTCCTCAAGGACTCTATCTACCAGATCTAATCTCTTAAATCTACTTATCACCTCCACTTCATATTCATAAGGGATCTTATTTAGGTCATACTTGTATAGTCTAATGGTTTTCCCTACTTTCTTCAATTTAAGTCTGAATTTTTCATGAAGAAGCTCATGATCTGAGCCACAGTCAGCTCCAGGTCTTGTTTTATTTATTTATTTATTTTTGGTGGCAGTTGGGGTTAAGTAACTTGCGTAGGGTCACACAGCTAATAAGTGCCAAGTGTCTGGTCTGAGGCCAAATTTGAACTCAGGTCCTCCTGACTCCAGGGCCCGTGCTCTACCCACTTCACCACATAGTTGCCCCTCCAGGTCTTGTTTTAACTGACTATATAGAGCTTCTCCATCTTTGGATGCAAAGTATATAATCAATCTGATTAATATATTGACCATCTGGTGATGTCCATGTGTGGTGTTGCGTTTTGGGTTGTTGAAAAAGTGTTATTCGGGGTTTTTGTGTGTGTGTGGTTTTGTTTTTTTTTTTAGGCAATTGGGGTTAAGTGACTTGCCCAGGGTCCACAGCTAGTAAGTGTCAAGTCTGAGGTTGG